AAGTGAAAATTTAATCTGATGAGTTGTGATTTTTTTATAAGAGCAAATTAAATTTTTTTTTAATGAATGACTCGAGTCAAACAGTCGAGTCAACGTCACCCAATCTTCGAGTCCGAGTCATTAAAAAAAGGTGACTCTCATGACTCGGACTCGCCCATCTCTGAGTGGTCGAGCAGTGGAAATTTTATGGAAGATATCTCTTCTACATGCAAAAATCAACTCACGAATATTAAATAAGCTCAAAGAAATTATCTTGTGATTTCTCAACATTCGAACTACCGGATTTGTCGCAGTCACCAATACATTCTTGATCCCGAGTTTTAACGATAAATGGTTAGAAAAATCAATCAATGGGTTTACATAGGAAAAAAAAGTTAGTGATGGTTTTTAGAACTGTCTATAGAATCAATTTGAATAATTAGAAATTTATCGATCGACATTGAAATGTTAAACTCAAATTTGAAGAATCTAATGACGAATGGACTGTCACCAGAAAGACATTTATGGGATTATCATATCGCTTTGCATAGTTGATGTTGCTCTCATCCAAGTCACATGCTACACAATGTCGTGATATTTTCCATGGTACTTCATATTGATCGTAGCAGCAGTGCTACAGCAATCTTACTATATGTTTCTTTTTGCACTATTCACTCAGTCATCCATTGAAGTGTCTAGGATGAGAATTTTCAGCTTGAAGCGAGCGAAAAAAGGGGAGTGTTAGCTGGACAAGCCGCATAGTTCACTTTTGAGGAGGGGGAAAATCCGAGTTGTTTTCGCAGATTTTCAATGCATCATGTGACATCTGTCTTTGTGCAGTTGCACGTTTTTCAAAGTGTTATGATGAAAAGGAATTACAGAGTCAAGAAAGAAACTGGTCAAGATTGAATTTTTCTATGCTGTATTTTTATTTCCAAATATACGAGCAATCGAGTTTTTATACATTATTCATTATTATTTTGTCAACATTATTTCTTTTGCTAATAATAATTGTGAAAGACGTCGATCATTTTCAATCGTATAGCTGCTTCTTCATAATATGTATAAAACGTCAGTGTTAACTATGTTGATGTAGAGAACAAGAAGGTGAAGGTCGTTTCATTGTATGACATGTCAGAATTTTTCATCTTCAAAAGGCAATGTAGAATATCACCTTTCTAGCGAACAAATGTGGGCCTCTATGTAACTTTCTATGCTTTACATGACAGGAGTGTTAAAACAAAATAATTGGGTTTTTTAGAATGACAAAATGCCGCATGTTATTGACTTTGAACTTTTCTGAATTTTGTTACAGTCCTCTGTTTGTTATCAATAAAACCTGATAAATTTCGCTGTAAGAAGTTGATGAGCAGAAAGTCTTCTACTCAATGAAAAAGCTGAATGTGACATGCGAATAATAAAATGACGCTTGCTTCCCAAATCAGTCTGAAGGTGGCAAGCCGATATTACATTACTGCATCCTATATCCTACGAGGACTTTGCACAAGTGGGCCAGATTCAAGCACTTTTTGCAGTCTCCGAATACGCTCAAAAACTGTGCACCCTATGAGTGACCTTAGAGCTGGGCAACACCCTGATTGCTTTTATTAGCCATGTTTCTTGTTTCTTTACCTTACACCGATATTCGGTAAAGGGTATTCTATCTTCATCATTTTTCACACCGATGTAAAAGTTGATGATCAATAATCTGAATGTTAATATATCGAATATTTAATTCTTGAATCATCTGTTTGACAGGTAACAGAGAAAATCGATGGTAAATTAAACAATTCCAATGTCCGTTCTTTAAGTTTTAATTTATTTATCTTAATCTGCATAAAAGCCATCTAAATTTACCGGAATTATAATTTCTTGTAGAACACTTGAAAAAAAAGATAAAGGAATTTTTATCTGAAAGTAATACTTCGATGTATTCGTAATTATTATGTCGATTTTTGTATCATATATCTTAGACAGTAGTGTCCATATATTTTTTCCCATATAAGAACAAAAAACTGCGTTGGTTTTTTCCAACTTCAAAATAAACTTTTTTTAATATTCTTGGAATACTCGTTGACATTGGGTCAAAAGAAAAAGATTATGTTATGTATGTATCAGTCATTAATCACAGAAGATAGAACACAAAAACACACCTCTTTTCTTGTGGTAGTCATTCTCTACTGCACACATTTTGTTTTCTTTCCTTGTTCTGTAACATATGAGTATATATCATTATGAGTAATTTATTTGGTTTACGCATGAGAGGTGAAAAACACTTACGAGTAGTACCAAGATTTTGTAGACTAATACCACGCTCAATCTAGAAAAAATTTATCGCACACATAACCGTCTAAACAAGAACGAATTATTTTCCAACAAAAATATAAGTATTGTTTATAGAATTCCAAAAGTTTTTCTTAAAATAAACTAATTTTTTTCAAATTTTATTGTTAGTGTAGTTTTGGGCTGAAACCTGTAACAAAAATGTGAAAATACTTTTTTTGATAGGATATAATATTGAAATGGGATGCTGTGCACGTTTAATAGAACAACGGGTGTTATTCATAAATAAAATAATCACTTTTAGAAAAATTTGTTTACTTCTTTCATTCGATTTTAGATCTCGAGAAATTTTTCATACTACTTCGCAGAAATAAAACTTAGATTTTCTATGCATATATTTTAGTCGTCATAAACAATTATAAGTGTGTATCTTTTTTCATCTTTCAGAAACAGTTTAACATGTATTTTGACATCAATTACTACAACTCAATTTTCATAACGCATCAACGTTCAGAACCGTGACGCTGTGACACTTTTGACCGTTTTTGTCACAGCGTCACGATTTTTCTGATTTTTCTTTGATTAATACAGATTAATAAAAGTTAATGTTTAAACATCGACATAGGTTCATGAGTGAGACTGGTATACTTGTTTAATTTTCGCCTGCTCGTCTTCACTGTTTTAGACACGTTTTTCAGATATCCCCCAGATCGATTTTGGGGGCTGTTTGTACAACAACTGTATTTTCATAACGAATCAACGTTCAGAATCGAGACACTTTTGATTTTGTAGAGAGATGTTTAATCTACTTAATTTTTTTTAATCTACGCAATTTTAGATTATTTTCTAACTTTATTGCCATAGTTCTTTGAAAAAGAGCGAAAAAAGCAGAGTGTTAGCCGGACAAACCGCATAGTTCACTTTTGAGGAGGGGGAAAACCGAGTTGTTTTTGCAGATTTTCAATGCATCATTATAAGTGGTTCAGCTATCAAAAACGTTTCAAGAAATTGATTTTATGATTTAAAACTTTGAAAGATCTACTTAAAATTTGATGATCAGTGAATAGATATTTCTTTTTAGACAAATTCTCAGGACAATTTTTGGAATTGAGTGGAAAACAGTAAACATCAACCGTTAGGAGAAGATCAAAATCCGTTGACACATATAGCCAAAATGCGAAAACGAGACGATAATGTTATCGCAAAATCATCAGATGGTGGGATTACAGGTATACAAGAGAAAATAAATAATTTAGAAGCTCAAATCAAACAACAACCAGCAGTTGTACATGATGGAAGTCTTATATGGAAAATAACACATGTTAATGACAAACTAAATGCTGCTCGATCAGGTCAACAACGATATCTTGATTCACCACCATTTTTCTCATCACCAACTGGCTATAAAATGTGTGCTCGACTCTACTTAAATGGCGATGGTAATCAATCTCGTGGGAAATTTATTTCTTTATTTTTTATGTTAATGCCTGGTGAATTTGATGCTATTCTTCACTGGCCATTTAATTTTACAATCAAATTTTCTCTCATTACTCAGTCAGATGAACAACCAAACATTGATGAAATATTCCTTCCAGATTCAAAAAGTCCAAATATTTGTGGTAAGCCCCTTTTGAAACCGAATGAACCTATTGGTATACCTCAATTTTATTCATTAGATTTATTATTGCAAAAATATATAAAGGATGGCACTATGTTTCTTAAAATAAATATGGAGTTTGGTGAAAGATTTCAAATACTTTCCTCAAAGATCTTACCACCATTAGCATCGTCAACGTGTACATCTTCATCTATTGTTGCTACGGATGAAAAACGACAATCTACACCTGATGATAATATGGAATCTGGACTATGCATAATCTAATGCGCCATTTTACTCAGCTCATTCACCAAAGAGAACTAGTCATACGAGTTTTGATCTCGCAATTCATTTTTTCTCATTTTTTAGCATGCAACAATCAATTCTGTTTTCTACATAATACCTTTTTTTCTGAATAGATATAGACCTTTTTCTCTGTCTTTCATTACATTCTGCATAGCCAAATCGCTCAAGTGAACTGACAGAAGCAATATTTTTGTTTTTATTTCTTATTGTGACATTTTTCCGTTTCTGTTTGCATATATACAAGCAATCGAGTTATTATACATTGTTCATTATCATTTTGTTAACATCATTCTTTTTACTAATAATAATTGTGAGGGATGCGTGATATTTCGCAAAAATAGATATCAACAAAACACACGAGATATTAGTAAAATATACGAAATATAAATGGTAAATGTTTAAAATGCTCGTTGTTCCATAATATTTTTGTAAAGCCAATTGCACCATCAACTGGAATCAACTCATTTTCACTATATATTGTACCGTGCATGTACATTACATTGCTCTGTCTTATTTTCGATATTTGACCGTCACATTACGCTATCAGCTTCAATGCAACTACCGGTCATCAACGTTTTCACCATTTGAGAGAATTATACCAGACTAATAAAATGTTTTCTGAAAATTTTTAAAAAAATAAAACTAAAACTACTGCGTAAAGATAAAACGGCAAAGAGGGCAAAAGAAGGCTGTTTTTTCCCTGATAACAGAGTATGTACTACATATCGTTGCAGCAATCAACTGGCTTTGAGGATATCATGTACCAGTTTTAAAAGGCATGATTTGGATGTAGAGGAATGCCTCAGAATCCACTGTAGGTTACTTTGGAAAAGAAATTGCACTTTGTTCTGTTAACTGGATGTACTAGGTCGCCTACCAGATTGCATAAGGAAGGCGTGCATGTACAACCGATCAGCTATTTACAGATTCTAACTTGTTTCCGTTTCCGAAGATATACTGTTGATAAACGTCACGAATCATTGCTAATCAACGTTCTCGAAGCCTTGTTGATTAGAAAAGAGTTTAGTCATGAACTAAGCTTTTTTACACTATGCCATCAGGCTTTCACTATTTTTCATTCATTTGGTTTACGAACAAAACAGAAGCAGTTGTAGTCATTTAGCTGATGCAAAAAAGAATTTGCTTGTTTGGATCACTGCTTCTAGGTTCTATGATTTCCTTTAATCGAGGTGCATAAAAAATACAAAAGTCTTCCGAACATTTTTATTATGTTAAATACGGTGGAAAGTAGCACTATCATGTATGTCTTTTTCAATTGGAGTATGGAAGAAACCATTAGAACAAGTCAATAGGAATTTGTTCTTAGAGTTTTTATAGAGCTTTTCACGGCGCATCTTTTGAGAAAAATACCAAGAATTCATCATTTGTCTGTTGAGATATATTCGCAAAATAAACTATGTTGTAAACATTTTGGAGTACTCGGGACTTCAGAGTGTTTAATATTTTGACTATAACACCGTTATTTCTCAATGAAACTCTAAGTTTTTTTACCAAAATGATCAGCGAAAAAAGCTCTACAAAGTCTGATAGAATAAAAAGTTTTTGAACATTTTTTGTTTTTTGAGCTTGACTGCCCATGAAAGTATCCTTTAACAAATATATCATTTTGCGCATTTTTATGTCATTTTTTTCTCAGCACTGAAGTTTTATTTTTTTATTATATTTTATATTCAATGGTTTTTCATACTAAACAGGTGTATATATAGTACTTGACCTCTACTACACAGGCATATAATGAAATTAAATTAATGTTGTGTAGTTTTAATACACGACTAAAAACAAAAAAGTGACGAAATACTTTTGACGTCGACTGTAATACTAAAAATGGAATGGAAAAGCAGTATTTTTGTTAGATTTGACAGATTTAACATTTATTTACAAAATCTTGGTACTGCTCGTAAGTGTTTTTCACCTCTCATGCGTAAACCAAATGCATTACTCATAATGATATATACTCATATGTTACAGAACAAGGAAAGAAAACAAAATGTGTGCAGTAGAGAATGACTACCACAAGAAAAGAGGTGTGTTTTTGCGTTCTATCTTGTGTGATTAATGCATACATAACATAATCTTTTTCTTTTGACCCAATGTCAACGAGTATTCCAAGAATATTAAAAAAAGTTTATTTTGAAGTTGGAAAGTTGCTTTTTTCGCTCTTTTTCAAAGAACTATGGCAATAAAGTTAGAAAATAATCTAAAATTGCGTAGATTAAAAAAAATTAAGTAGATTAAACATCTCTCTACAAA